CCCTCTGTTCGTCCTACCCGATGATCGGAAAGTCGGCCAGTCATGAGAAACAGCGGGAGGAGGAGGAGGTGGAGGAGGAGGAGGAGGAAGGGGAGGAGGAAGGCGAGGAGGAGGGGGAGGAGGAGGGGGAGGAGGAGGGGGAGGAGCAGGAGGAGGAGGGGCAGGAGGAGGAGGAGGAGGAGTAGGGGGAGCAGGAGGAGGACGAGGAAGGAGGAGGAGGAGGAGGAGGAGGAGGAGGAGGAGGAGGAGGAGGACGACGACGAGGAGGAGGAGGAGGAGGGGCATCGAGAGTCCGTGCCGCGGTCCCACTCCAAGAACGCATCGCGTCGGAGGAGGGCCGTCTGAGCCAGCGGGCCCCACCTCTCGGGCGCGCGCGGCGCGCGCCTCGGCTCGGCGCCCGGGGCGCCGCCGGGGCTGCCCGGCGCGGAGCCGAGAGCGCTGCGCGGGCCTCCGCAGGGCCTGGCTGCCTCGATACGCCCCGTTTTGGGACGCGGCACGTGCCCAGCCCGAGCCGCCCGACGTGCGAGGCGGGGGGCGAGCTGTACCAGGGGAACGAGGAGGACGAGGAGGAGGAGGAGGAGGAGGAGGAGGACCAGGAGGAGGAGGAGGAGGAGGAGGAGGAGGAGGAGGAGGAGGAGGAGTTTCGGGACGCGGCACGTGCCGTGTCCACAGCGTCCGCGCCACTAGGCTGCGTGTCGGCTCGGCGTACTGGCCCGCGCTCTGGCGAGCGCCTCGCGTCGGAGCCGCGTCTTCAGGCTGCGCGTTGTTGAGCTCCGCGTCGGCACGCCACGGGCTGCGCGCTGCGCGCCGGGGCAGCCGAGCCGCAAGGTTCTGTCGATGCCGTCTTCCTTCCCTCGTGAGCAGGCCGTTATGTTTATGTTATGTTATGTTTATGTTATGTGTATGTGTATGTTATGTTATGTTTATGGTATGCTATGTTTGTGTTATGTTCATGTTATGCTTATGCTTATGTTATGTGATGTTTATGGTATGCTATGTTTGTGCTATGTTTGTGTTGCGCTTATGTATATGTTATGTTTACGCCAGGCCGGAGGCCCCTCCCCCGACCGCCCGAGGCGCCCGAGGCGCCCGAGGCGAGGGGCTGCAGTTGACCCGCAGAGTGAGGATGGGCAACCTTCCCGGGGGCACCCCTCGTGAGCAGGAGCAGGAGGCCGGAGGCCCCTCCTCCGACCGCCCGAGGCGCCCAATCGCCCGAGGCGAGGGGCTGCAGTTGACCCGCACGGTGAGCATGGGCAGCCTTCCCGGGGGCACCCCTTGCTCATTTATTGATTTTCCGAGAGTTCTCTGTGATTTTTTAGGGGGCCGAGATCCTTTCATTTCTGATCGTTCTGCCCTGTGCCTCTTCCTGGCCACCAGGGGGCCAGGAACAATCAGAAACGAGCACAACTAGAAATGAGCACGACTAGAAATGAACGACGGGTGCCCCTGCATCCTTGCCTCCTCGGTCCATCCTTGGCTCAGGAGGGAAACAACACACAGACACAAGTAATCGTCGACTCCCAGGAAAGTATGGGAAAGTATGGGAAGTGGGGGGAAGGCGGAAATCCAGAACATGTGGGAAAATATTGGGGATCCTGGGATCTGCGCGTATTTATTTGTGTGTCCTTGGGCCCCTCGACTGGCCACTTTGGCTGGCCGCGCCCCGCTCGACAAGCGTCGAGGTGGGCGTCCAAGGCCCTTGCACCCCCAGCGCGCATCCTCACGAGACGGGCCGCCCGTAGGCAGGAGCAGGCGGCCGAAGGACCCTCCCCCGCGCCCGCCCGAGCCGCCCGACGTGCGAGGCGGGGGGCGAGCTATACCAGGAGGAGGAGGAGGAGGACCAGGAGGAGGAGGAGGAGGAGGAGGAGGGAGGAGGAGGAGGAGGAGGAGGAGGAGGAGGAGGGAGGAGGAGGAGGAGGAGGGAGGAGGAGGAGGAGGAGGAGAGGTAGGAGGAGGAGGATAGGGGAACAAAAAGTGAAAAAAACACGCAAAAACTCGGAGGTCCGCGCGGGTTTCTCGGATCCGCGCTGGACCCCCTGGCGGCGCCTCCGGCGCCGCCCCTGGCGCGCTCCGCGCGCCAGGGAGGGGTGTCCAGCGCCGATCCGAGAAACCCGCGCGGACCTCCGAGCATTTCCCTAAATCAGTGCTTGCACTGAAGGGGTCCGAGCGGAAATTGAAAGATTTGGCGCAAGTGTCCCCCCGATTTTGGTGGCCGGCTGGGTTCCCGGGTTCCCGGTTCCCGCGTCCTGGGCTCGTTCCGGGTCGATTTCGGTGGGTTCCGGGTTTCAGGGTTCCTGGTCGATCAACGCCTCGACTGTACGTCGGATCTCCGGGACCTCCGTCTTGATTGTTTCAAAACGTTGGATCTCTGGGGAGGAGGAGGAGGAGAAGGAGGAGGAGGAGGAGGAGGAGGAGGAGGAGGAGGAGAAGTTTGCGAAAAACCTCCGTCTTGATTTTCTCAATGCGTGGGATCTCTGGGACCGCCGCCCGGGGGGCGGATCGATCCTCGAGGGGGCCTCCGCCTAGGCGGAGGCCTCCATTTCGGCCCCCCTTGAGGGGCGGCTCCGCCTGCCCCGGCGTGGACGTGCTCTCCGGCGGCGGCGCCTCGCGGAGGGAGCGTTCCTCTGGGCCTTCCAGATGGGGTCGGAGAAGGTGGCCCAGACCCCCTCGAGTCATGAAAAAATCACGACGGGAGGATTTTCCTTAATTTTTTGCCTTTGGGGGCCCTTACCGGCCCTCGGGACCGTCAAAAAACGACTCAGGGCGAAAAGCCGGTCCCGGGGAATGGGTCGAGACCTCGGGGGGTCGACGTCATGAAAAAATCATGACGTCGGGGGTCTAAGGATCGCGCCGCATCGCTGATGTATCGGCGATGCGGCTCGATGTGGAGCCCGAGTAGCTCCACGTCGACGTCGCCGGTGCAGCACCGACCTCGCCGGCGCAGCACCAATGCATCGCCGGTACATCGGCGATGAGGCGCGATCCTTCGACCCCACCTGCTCCGACCCCAGTTTGGAGGCCTCTAGTTCCCGGGAGGGCCCGCGTGGTCCCGGGCGGCCGCCGGAGACACGAGCCACGCATGTCTACAGGGGCAGCGATAGGGGGGGGGGGGGGATGGGCATAGGGTTTTACGTCGGGCCTGTCCCTCTACAGGGGGCATATTCAAAAACAGCCCCGGGGGTGCCCGCATCGTCCCGGGCGGCCGCCGGGCAACGATGGGGGGTCGGGGGTGGACAGACCTCCTACCCTGGCACGTCGATTGAGGAACTGGCCGTTTCCGGCTCGCGAGGGGGCGTCGCGGCCGTCGTTTTTGCGGGTCCAGATCCGTCGGTTTCAGTCCCAGGCCGTTTTCACTAGGTGGAGGTCTACTAAAGGGAGGTTTGTCCACCGCCGGGGGGGGGGGATGGGCATAGGGTTAAGTCGGGCCTGTCCCTCTATAGGGGGGGATATTCAAAAGCCGTCCAAACAAAGATAGTCAGGGGATGACTTGTTGACTATTTTTGCCCATTCGGGGGGTATCTTTTGAGGTATCTTTATTTTTCGCCCAAAAACCCCCTGTAGGGGGGACACGCCCGACGTAAGCATAGGGGGGGGATGCATCGACCCCCAATCGCCCATTGATCGCCGATAGGGGCCCGACAGTCCTAACCTGCCCAGGAAGGTGCGGACTCACCATCGGGGCCCTATCGCCCATCTATCGGCGATGTATCGCCGATTCCAGGTCGATGCATCCCCCCTATGCCAGTCCCCCCCTATCGTTGCCCCTCAATGTCGGCGGCGAGCAACAGCTACACAACGCATCATCCCAGGCGGCCGCAGGAGACATGAGCCACGTATGTCGGCGGCGAGCAAGAAGTATATAGCAGCGATGCCGGTAACGACACAACGATGGCAACGCTCACAACGGCAGCGACGAGAACAACGATGACGAAGCGTTCATCGTTGAGGTAGGTGGGCACCGACACCATCACAGGAGGTTGCCTCCACTCGGCGGCGGGCGAGGGGGGGGAGTGAGAAGGAGAAGGCCTTCTGAGAAGTTTTCTGCGTCTTCGGGGGAGGCTCGGAAAACTGCTCAGAAGGCGGGGGGACTTCCGAGCCTTCTGAGAAGGCCCGCCCCTTCCCACTTCCCCTCCTCGCTCGCCGCCGATGATGGCCCGAATCTTGAGTCTTTCTCCAGCGCGGAGACTTGTCCAGAACTGCCGCTTGGGGGAAGTGATTTTGGGGGGCCTCGGCAGGCGGTGGATTTGGGTATGTTTGGGCCTGGGGGGAGGGTGTGGGGGGGGCAACATATGTCAAGTTCACATCCACCGCCTGCCCGGGGGGTCCCCAAAGGTCGATCACCAGGCTGTGGTTCTGGACAAGCCCCGGCCTCACACAAAAGAGGGCGAGCAACATCAGAATACCCACCTCGAGGAGCAAGAGGGTGACGACGACGACGACGACGACGACGACGACGACGACGTCGACGCCGAAGACGACGACGAACACCGACGACGAACGGCGACGACGGCGAACGGCGAGGAACGACGACTGCCAAAGGCACCCGGGTCCGCATCGATCCGATCGATCCGATCCGATACCGGTTCTGGCCGACCCGACCCGATGCGATTTTGATACCCTGGCGGTCCGACGCGGCCCGGCGCTGTGCATGGCGCTTGCTGTGCACCTCGGCGCAGCCGATCCGCTTGCGATCTCGAGCGCTCGAGCCCGTGTGGCCCGGCCCGACGCACGCCTCCGATTCGAGCGGATGTCCGGGGCCGCTGCTGACCCACGACGGCCCACCAACGACTGGCGACGAGCGACGACCCGCCAACGACGGCCAGCGCGACGAGCGACGACCAACCAACGACGGCCCACCAGAAGACGACCCAGCAACGACGAGCAGCGCGCGACGGCCAACGCGACGAGCGACGGCCAACGACGACGACCAGCGACAGCTCGATCCGATCCTGCCGACCAGCGACGGCCCACCTTCGGACGAGCGACGAGCGCCGCAGGAGCCGACGCCACCGCGCCGGTGGACGAGCAGGAGCTGGCGAGGCGGGCGCTGCAGGCGCTGGGGAGGCCGGCGAGCACTACCGCGTGGGTGGAGGCGCCCCCCTCGGCAGGGGCCGCCGCGCAGGGGGGTCGACCCGCTCGAGCCGCTCGGATTTCGACTCTGGCTCCTCCGACCCGATTCGATTCCGATGTTCGGGCAGGAGATTTCTTGGATTGCGTGAGTGCTTAGCTTCGTGCCCAGGCTCCCCCCCTCCTCCTCCTCCTCCTCCTCCTCCTCCCCCTCCTCCTCCTCCTCCTCCTCCTCCTCCTCCTCCTCCTCCTCATCCTCCTCCTACTCCTCCTCCTCCTCCTCCTCTTCCGTTGCATATGATCGGTTTTCTTGTTTGCGCATGCCCGGCTGTGCATCCTAATGCTTGAGGCCCGCAGGCCGCTCCCACTGGAGCCGGCACGCAAGCTGTACTTGTAACTGTTCCCCGCCTGCGCCCTCAGATGCCGCCCTTCGCGGGCATGCAGGCCTGACCTGACCTGACCTGTTCGGGCGATTCGATGCGGTCAGGGCGCCAGAGACGGGGGTGCAGCAAGCGGGGGTGCGGGGAACGCCGACTTCCACGCTTGGCTATGCCCCCGTTTGGGGGGCCCTGGGCGCCGCAGACGGGGGTGCAGTACACGGGGGTATATGGAAAAGCCTAAGCCCCCTTTTGGCTAAACCCCCGTTTGCGAAGCCCCGAGGCGGCCCCGGTGCTGCAACGGGCCGTCGCAGGGCCCCGAAGATGTGCTGGACTTCGTAGCGACCTCCTCCTCCTCCTCCTCCTCCTTCTCCTCCTCCTCCTCCTCCCCCTCCTCCTCCTCCTCCTCCTCCTCCTTCTCCTCCCCCTCCTCCTCCCCCTCCTCCTTCTCCCCCTCCTCCTCTCCCAGGCGAGCAGTTTCAGACCACCCCCGGGCCAGCCATGACAGGGCGGCCTTTTGCCCAGATCCCTCGGCCCTCTAAGACAGCTCACATCAGACCCCCCCCCCCCAAGCCAGACCCCCCAAGTCAGACCGCCCCCCTCTGTTGTGAAATCCAGAGTGGTCGCGGCTCGCGATCTGCGACTCATCGAGGTTCCTGGTTCTTGATGGCATGTGAGTTATCCAAGCGCTACACTCCCCCCAGTGCCGGTCGGTCCTGGTGGGGGGGTGATCAAACTAAAGCCAGGCGACTCCTGGAGCACCGCTCCAGGAGTCCGGCTGGTGAGGAATATGTGCAAAGACAGGGGAACCCGAACAGCAGACAGAAGCATGGAGGGGGGAAGGAGGAGGAGGGGGAGGAGGAGGAGGAGAAGGAGGAGGAGGAAGAACGAGCACGAACACTCGAAGAGAGAGAAGAGAGGGTGGGAGGCTGATGGAAGGGAGGGGAAGGAGGAGGAGGAGGAGGAGGAGGAGGAGGAGAGGAGGAGGAGGTGGAGGGAGGAGGGGAGGGAGGAGGAGGAGGAGGAGGCAGGAGGAGGAGGAGGAGGAGGAGGAGGAGGAGGAGAGGAGGAGGGTGGAGATGAGGGAGGAGGAGGAGGAGGAGAGGAGGAGGAGAGGAGGAGGAGGAGGAGTAGGTAGGAGGGAGGAGGGGAGGAGGGAGGGAGGGCAGGAGGATTGAGGAGGAGGAGGAGGAGGAGGAGGAGGAGGAGGAGGAGGAGGAGGAGGAGGAGGAGGAGGGGAGGAGGGGAGGAGAGGAGGGAGGAGGAGAGGAGGAGGAGGAGGAGGGGGAGGGGAGGGAGGAGGAGGAGGAGGAGGAGGAGAGGCGGAGGAGGAGGAGGAGGAGGAGGAGGAGGAGGAGGAGAGGATGAGAGAGGAGGAGGGGAGGAGGAGGAGGAGGAGGAGGAGGCGAGGAGGAGGAGGAGGAAGAGGAGGAGGAGGAGGAGGAGGAGGGGAGGAGGAGGAGGAGGAGGAGGAGGAGAAGGAGAAGAAGAAGAAGGAGGAGGAGGAGGAGGAGGAGGAGGAGGAGGAGGAGGAGGGGGAGGGGTGGCGCTGCTGGAACGCATCCCGAGGCTGGATAGCCGCCGGGGACCGACGAAGACGCCCGAGGGCCGACGAGCCAAGGCTCCCGACAGTATCAGCACCCCACCCGTCCCACGAGAGTGGCGCGGCCGTGCTGGCAGGCGGACGCCTCAATTTTTGTTTCATTGCTTGCTCAACGTCGGCATCGTCGGCGGCGTCGGCGTCGCCCTGCTCCAAGCGATTCTGGCGCTCCTCAGCCTCTTTCGGCGCCGGTTGGCCCCCGCGCGTGGCCGCGGCCGGGGCCGCCTCGAGGTTGTGGTCCTCGTCCTCCTCGTCACCGTCTGCGTCGTTGTCTTCGTCCGTTGGCGCTCGTCGTCTTCATGGGTGAATCACAATCCTAGTTCTCCCCCAAGATGGGGTCCGACTACATGGGTCGGAGGATCGCGCCGAATCGCCAATGTATCGGCGATGCGGCTCGACGTGGAGCCCGATTTTCTCCACGCCGACGTCGCCGACGTATCGGTGATGCATGTGCCA